CCCTGACACCCTAAACCACTATCTCTTTGAAGGGAAATGGAGGTGATGTGCCATGTTCATAAGGATCTCTGTGAGGAAACTTTTCACTACTTACTTGAACAAATTCTTAAAGGAAATGCAAATAGAGCACAGCAAATGCTCACAGACAGTGCCCAAGTTCTGAGTTCAAGCCATAGGACCAACAACAAAACAAAACATAAAATCCTTAAATGAAATGCAAAATTCAGAAAAAAACAAAAATTCATTTGATTTAATAGATAGAATTAGGGAGTTTCTGGAAAATTAATTGTTAGATTTTGTGAAATCCAAATCACCAGAAGTATTATGCTGCATACTTACCTAACAATCTCACTATTTTATGCCTGTGTTTTCATTACAGCAATGGGAAATGACACAGGTATAAGTTTATGGTTGTGAATAACTTCATTTTTTTTTTGGCGGTTGTGGGGCTTGAACTCTGGGCCTGGGCGCTTGTCCCTCAGCTCTTCAGCTCAAGGTGAGCGCTCTATCACTTGAGCTACAACACCACTTCCGGTTTTCTAGTGGTTTATTGGAGATAGGACTCTCAGGGTCTCTCTTGCTAGGGCTTGCTTTAAACTGCGATCCTCAGATCTCAGCCTCCTGAGTAGCTAGGATTACAGGCTTGAGCCACCGGCGCCCGGCAATATCTTTGTAAAGTAGGAGGAGATACATTAAAAAAATTTAAGACAAAACAGAGATATAATTTACATTCAGCAGAACGCAGGCATTGAAAAAACAGAAAGGTATAAGCAATGCAATCTCATAACCTCAATTTCATTATTAGAACTAAGAATCAAAAAGGCAATGTATCCAATTCTCCCCATATATATCCATTTTCTGGTTGGCCTTATGTATTTCAAGAGGAAACAGTGGTTTTCAAGAAGAAACTGAGCTTAACTCCCACAGCAGGGAGAGAAAAGTCCCAATGCACAAGAGCACACTTGTTCCCAGGTATGTAGCAGGGTGCCATCGAGCATTGTGGGAATTGTAGTCACCAAGAAGAATATTTTCTTTGAAAGTCCTGGGTTGTTTTTGTTTTTTGGAGGGTGGAGGTGGGGCAGAAGATGCTTTTGCACATGTGTCTCCCACCCACCAGGGGCGTTTTAAGTCGGCCTCTTCCTGATTCTTTTCCTTAGCCTGGTTGCTGGAAGTGCCCTGAAGTACAGTTTGTCCTTCCACAGGTGGGAGCCAGGAGCCCTGCGCCCAGCTCTGTGCAGTGGAACTTGGGAGCTGTAACTTGAAGGAATCTCAGGCTTTGCAACTGATGTCAGGTGGGAACTGTGTGATTGCCGCGGGTGTCTACCCTCCACTGGTTTCTGTTCGTTTTTCTGTTTTTGTTTGTTTTGTGGGGTGTAAACTTTGGGCCTGAAAGCAGCATTCCTGAGCTCCTCAGCTCAGAGGGAGAGCTTTACACTTGAGCCAAAGCGTCTACTTCCCTCTCCACGATTTTCTCCAGTCTGGGGTTGATAATTTGCTTGAGGTTCAGGAGTTTGTGCTGCCATTAGCCTCTG